CAGAACTCAAAGTTAAAAGGGGAGTTGGGTTGGCTTCCCCAATTCCACGAGCAGGAGCCTTAGTGCCATCAGCAAGAGTGACAGGGGGTAGGTTATTAGAATAAGAAAGTGAAGTGAAGAGATCTTTATTACCACAAAGATGATGAGTAGCACCTGAGTCTATTATCCAGGGTCCAAGAGATGATTGATAAAAACAAGCAACATGATTACCAGTGTCTTGAGTAGGATGCTGAGAATAAACCTTCTTGAGAAGTGCCTCATAGTCGGCACTTGAAAGAGTTACTAATCCAGTTGAAGGTGGCGTAACATCAGTTTGAGCAAATTTGGCAGACGGTGGCTTCAAATGAGGGTACTTCCTATAGCAGCGTTCTTCAAAATGCCCAAGATTCTGGCAATAATTGCAACGAGGCCTCTGTCTGCGGCCACGTCTGCGACCGCGTCCACTGTTCCAATTGGAATCACTGGCCTGGGAAAAGAATGGAGATGGGGTAGTACCGGAGATGATGCCAGTCGTGTTTTTGGACGCATTATTTGAGCTCTCCATCACAAAATAAAAGGAGATGACCAGAAAATAGCAAAGAACTACAAGAAAGCAAGAAATCGCGCAAAAACGTTGCACAAAAGTGTCCAAACAGCGGGTTTTTCACTGATATCTTTCAAACGGATGGGACCCACAACGAACGGAGACCAGATCTGGAAAGAGGGTGAGGAGGCGAGCAAGATGGTGGTGGTCCGGCCTGGAACGGTGGCCGGACGGTGGCTCACGCGCAGGAACAGTGGTTTGGCCGCCGGAGACTTCCACCGGCGCGTGGATGCTCCGATCAACACGCGGCTTGGACAGACAGGGTCGCCTCCCTGAGCCGCTCCTGATCGCGTGGTGGTTGGTCGAAAAAGTCGCCGGAAAAGCAGTCTGACGGCGGTGAACAGTGGCGGACGGTGGTTTCGTGGCGGTTTCCGGCGATGAACAGAGGCTGATGATCTTTTTCCTGATGATACGAGGTTGAGGACAAGAAATTTGTGACTAAATAAGGGTTAGGTGTGAAAGGATGGTTGCCGGTATGATGCACGACAGTAAAAAGAAAGGAAAAGATATATATGCGGAAGCAGAGCCCTCAGATCGAGGGCTCTGATACCAAATTGAATCTGAAATATATTGTATATTCAAGTGTGTAAGTCTGTACAAGGAGACTCTCTATTTATAGAGACTAAAAGACCTAATGGGCCAAGCCCACAATCTAGACTATTCTAGACTATTCTAATAATAATAAATTAATATTATTTCTAACAGTAGGCAACCGGCTTGTTACAAATGCATTCAACCCGAGGATCTCTAAGAGCTTTAGTGACGACATCCGCGAGTTGATCATTGGAGTTGACAAATGCCGTTTTGATTTCTCCTGACTGAATCTTTTCTCAAATGAAATGACAATCAATCTCTATATGTTTGTTTCTCTCATGAAATACAAGATTAGAGGATATATGTAGCGTAGCTTGATTGTAACAAATGAGTGTCATGGGCTATTTCTGTTCACAAAGATGGAGCCCCAGAATCAACTGCTTTAAGTAGATTAGCTCGCAGGTAGCAACTCCCATTGCACGATACTCGACCTCTGCACTAGATCGGGCAACAACAATTTGTTTCTTACTTTTCCATGAAATCAGGTTTCCTCCAAAGAAGACACAATAGCCTGAAGTAGAGCGCTTATCCGAGGGTGATCTTGCCCAATCGGCATCTGAATAACCACAAAATTTTGTATTTCCCTGATTTGAATATAATAAGCTTTTCACTGGTGCTCTTTTGATGTACCCGAGGATCCTCGCAGCAGCATCCCAATGAGAATCACAAGGAAAGTCAAGGAACTGACTAGTGACGCTAACAACAAAAGAAGTATCTTGCCTAGTCACAATGAGATAATTGAGTTTCCCAATCAACATCTGATAACGTCCAGGATCGGATAATGGCTCTCCCTGTCTGGGTAGTAATTTGATAGTAGGATCCATAGGTGTATCAACTGGCTTACACCCCAACATACCAGTCTCCTCTAGGTAAAGAATTGTTATTCCAGCGTGATGGCAATCTCCCTTTAAAAGTTTATGCTGACGCTGATTATGTTGGATCCGTGATTGATCGTCGATCTACCACTGGTTGTTGTATGTGTCTTTGTGGTAACCTAGTGACATGGAGGAGTAAGAAGCAGGATGTGGTTGCCAGGTCAAATGCAGAGACTGAATTTCGAGCTATGGCTCAAAGCATTTGAGAATTATTGTGGTTGAGAATTATACTTGATGATCTCAAAATAAGATTTGATGGACCTATGAAGCTGCTTTGTGATAATAAGTCCGCCATTTATATAGCTCATAATCCAGTTCAACATGATTGGACTAAGCACATTGAGGTCGACCGCTATTTCATCAAAGAGAAACTTGATAGTGGGTTAATCACCACTCCTTACATTCTTTCTGGACGTTAATTATCTGATATTTTGACAAAGGGACTTTCCTAAAAAAGGTTTCAAGAGCTTAATAGCAAGCTGAGAATGATAAATATCTATTCCTCAGCTTGAGGGGGAGTGTTGTAAATAATTGTAATTAGTTATTTATTTATTTTTTCATTCTAGAATCTTCTTTGATCTTAGCCCATTAGGTCATTTAGTCTATTTAAATAGAGCTCTTGTACATTTGTAATACACAATTCAATAATATATTTTTCTTCCATTTTTTAAGTACTTCTGATGTGAGTTTGGAGGGGTTTGCATCAGTGCTGATTCAATGATTTAGAGGAAGGAGCTTGGGGAATATTTATGAAAGACTGACAACTCTACCTTTTAACAGGTTGTGTGGAAGAGTATGTTTAAGATTTTGAGGCATTGATGGCTCAAGCTTCATCAACCACTTAAGTGGAGCAATTGCTGCTTTTTTCATGGGGGACCGTGACAAGAGTGATGTGCAAACTTAGACTGCATGACCTCCAAGATGTGATTTAGGCAATTGACATAGCAACGGATGTTGAGGAGGATCTGAGGGCTATTTGACGAATGGGAAGTGCAAACTTTAAAACTCCAAGTGTTAATTTTCATTATTATTTGGAAGGTTGCACATCTTAACAAGTGTGTGCCATCTAGTGGGGTTGCCCAACTTACTTTCAGGACAGTCACTAGCAAATGGGCTCAAATCATCCATAGGTCTGAGCATTTCATGTTAGAGAGTAGTAGGCTCTATGACAAAACTGAATGGCAATAGGTCTATGGGTCCAAGATGCAGGGGAGCCAATTAACTTCTGTATTATGAATATGTCAAGGAAGGAAGGAAGGTCGTTGTTTTCAGTGTGGGTTATTGTTGGACCTTCGTATAGATACCCAGAGAAAAGCATGATTGTTACCATCCTTGCAGAGGATGAGCTGTTGGATGATGATTGGGAAATTATGGCAATGGAAACCCAAAATTTCGAATTGAAGTAGCCCCCGAAATTTTGTGTCAATGGATGGACTTATACCTATTTTCAGTGGGTGGAATGACCCGACCAAAGACAATGAAGCTTCAAGGTCTGGTACGAGGCAAACCCACATTGATCTTGATTGATAGTGGGGTAAGTCACAATTTTATTGCCCATAGATTTTTGCAGAAACTGGGATTACAAGTTTCCCTTACTCTCGTATGGGGTATGTCTTGGTGATGGATATAGGAGTAGGTATCAGGAGCTATTGTAGAGGCTTCACGGTGCAATTGAATGACTATGTATGCCCTATCTGTGACTTCTATTTGTTTGAATTAGGTAGAGTAGATCTTGTTAGAGATATATAAAATCATTAATGTAAACAACTTAAGCTTTTGGGTTGAATTGGTTCTTTACATGGTATCAGAGCCTCGGTGTCATGGGTTCTATCCTCACCGCCTCCCCACTTTCTCTTATGGAATTTCTTAACACAGGTAGGTGGGCCTGTACATATTGTCCACCCTTCAAGCCCAGTGGGCTCTCGTGTCAGGGGGCGTGTTAGAGATATATAAAACTATTAATGTAGCTTCACCTAACACCTTAACCTTTTGGGTTGATTTGGTTCTCTACAGATCTAATTTCGGGAGTGGCGTGTTTGGAGACACTGAGGAATAAGGGTTAATTGGAGGATCTCATCCATGTCTTTCATGCATTAAGAGCAGCCTGTGAGTTTTAAGGACAATCCTAGCCTCTGTAAGGCTTTGGTTTTCTCTAGGCTCTATTGAAAGTATCTGAAGTTGAGTCTGCCTATTATTTTATTTACTAGCAATGCTTAATTAGCATCGAAAGGGGATCAAAGGATGGCACAACAGACATCCCTGCTCAGAAAATGTCTCAATTCCAACATTTAGTAAAGGAGTTCCCTTGGTTTCCTCTGTTCCAGACGGTCTGCCGCCTAGCTACAATGTTGACTGCCAGGTTCCTATCTGTAAAGTAGGAAGAAATTTGGGAAGACTGTACCCAATGTGGGTGCAGGTCCCTGTATTTATATTCAGAGAATTAAGCTAATAATATGAAGCAGTACAATATAATACAGAGGATGTAAATACCCTCCACACTGATCAAGTGCACTTAAATCTCTACTATACTTAATTAGTAATGATACCCCTCATATTGGAGCATAGATGTTGATCATGGCCAACTTGTCACAATGGTACCCCATGCTCCTCCCATCCAGTGCCTTTGTGAATAAGTCAGCTATCTGTTCTCCAATTCTAACATGTCCAGTGGATTCAAGTCCTTGCTACATACATGTTCACTTTGGTGGTTAGGATGATTGTGCTGCTTCTGCTGCCCCCTTTGGCCTTATCCTCCACTCTCCTCACCCATACTGTTTGTTGTTTTAAACTAGAAATTGAAATAAATATGAAGTAGTGTCTTATAGAAGATTTTACATATATTTCTGAGATGTGTGTGATTGAAATATCTATTAATTTTTAAAGAGTTCGTGTATATTTTTTCATGTCAAATTTCCGAGTTATACATTTTTGCTTGCTGATTTGATTAGGTGGAATACATTTTCTCTGACAAAACCGGGACTCTGACAAGAAACTTAATGGAGTTCTTCAAGTGTTCAATTGGAGGAGAGGTCTATGGAAATGGTGAGACTGAAATTGAGAGGGGAATAGCAGAGCGCAATGGCATGAAAATTGAGGTAGCACATTTATGCATTGCATGAAAGTAGTTGATCGCTAGCAAGAGATCACAGTTGTAATGTATTATTATTTCTCTATAGGAAAATAGATCACCCAATGCAGCGCAAGAGAGGGGTTTTAATTTTGATGATGCTAGGCTTATGAGAGGTGCTTGGAGGAATGAGGCTAATCCTGATGTCTGCAAGGTAAATAATTTTGTTTGACTATGAATTAGTGGCAGCTGTCTGTTTATTCTTTCAACCCAGTTTTGGGTTTCTTGGTTCATGTTTGATCCTTGCTGAGTAAAAAGGTTCTTACTTCATTTACTTTGCTTAATATGTTTATAATGGAAATCAGTTGCTTAAATCCTTGCTTTTCTCATGTTATATATTATTATTGTTGGTATGTATTCTAGAAACTATACGAGATCTCTCAACTGTAACTATCTATTTTGAGTTCCATGCAACACTCTGTATGACTGAGCTGGATGCGTAGAAGTATGTTATTTCTTAGAAATGCTCGTCTTTATTGTGATGTGATGTATTGTGTCCTATAATTTTTAAAATTTGCGATATCCCCGGTGTTGCACTGTATGCATGTCTGTGCTTCCTAGGTAATAACCAGGTCTTATATTTATGTTCCTTATTATCAAGTACAGTTGGAAGAGTCTGGATCCTCCATTTTTGGAAGAGAAGTTGATTCACATTGTTTAACCTTGTTTCTCATTTGGTAGAGATTGTCTATAAGTGAAGCACTTAAGCTGCTTTCTTTGACAATATGCTCATGCCTTGAATTCAGCGATGCAATTTTGTATCATGGTTCAGTTTGTTATATAAGTGAGTAATATTGTTTTGTTTTCTTGCTATGTAGGAATTCTTCAGATGCCTTGCTATTTGCCATACTGTACTTCCCGAAGGTGAAGAGTCCCCTGAGAAGATCAGATATCAAGCTGCATCACCTGATGAGGAAGCTTTGGTTATTGCTGCGAAGCACTTTGGTTTCTTCTTCTACAGGTGCAAAGCTCATACTTTTGACTAGCTCTAATTTTCTGCATAACTGTTTGTATGTTGCACACAAATTATATCAAACTTTCATGGATAATCTGTACTAATACATAATAGTGATTTTTCATTTATGCCAACCCCCCCCCCCCCCCCCCCCTCTCTCTTCTCTCTCTCTCTCTCTGTGTGTGTGAGTTTTACAAAGGCAATGATGGGGAAAAAGGTGTAAGGATTGAACCTCCAGCATTAATATTACAACCAAGCAAAGGCTTTGTCAGTGCCATTCGAGCTACAAACTCATTGTTGGTTTTGTTCTTTTAATAGGATGGTGGTCTTGTGTCCAAATTCTGACCGTAGATATAACACCCCCTATCTAATCATAAAAATGTTACTTATGTTGGTTTTTATACTATTAATAATTAAACTTTAGTTATAAGAAAACAAGGACCACTAATCATATATAAATATGATTGTTACATTTAGACTAGTTAATTATGCTTAAAAATTATACATAACTTTTTTTCCAACTAGAAGGGGAGTCTTGTACCCTAAAGGCAGAGTCTGAGTTGAGCTGTTATTTGAGAAGCTCAATGGCAGCATGAGTGCTTGTCTCCTTCGTAACCCTATATATGCATTTTGATTCTTGGTTCTGCTACTGGTTTTTTATAGAGCTGCTAGATTTTGAGGTTATTTCAGTTTTTGTTCATGCTATTTGTTATAATTCTTTGTCAGACGCACACCTACAACGATATATGTTCGTGAATCTCATGTTCAGAAGATGGGCCAAATTCAAGATGTGTCTTATGAGATTTTAAATGTGCTTGAGTTTAATAGGTAACCATTTCTGCTACTTGTACATAATTCTAATTTTAAGGTTTTAACATTTTCTTCTGACCATTAATAGTACAAGGAAACGTCAGTCTGTTGTATGTCGTTATCCAGATGGGAGGCTTTTACTATACTGTAAGGTAATAGTTTCTTGAGGCTTCTCCACAAGATTAAAAAGTTGCATGGCTTTGGCTAAGATGACATCTTCTGAGGAACTTGCTTTTCACAGGGTGCTGATACTGTAATCTATGAAAGACTCGCTGATGGTAATAATGATATCAAGAAAGTGACTAGGAATCATTTGGAACAATTTGGATCTGCTGGACTACGTACATTATGCCTGGCCTACAAAGAATTGCATCCTGATGTCTATGAAAGCTGGAATGAGAAGTTTATCCAGGCCAAGTCTTCTCTACATGATCGTGAAAAGAAATTAGACGAGGTACAGTTTATGCATGGTGGCTTTTATGTGCATATTTAGCATCAATGATTTATATTTTTGGAATAGCTTAACTTGATAACAAGTTAAATTTCACTAAAAGTGATTCGCTGAAAACACATGAATGATTTTATATATTTCTAACATACTAATAGAACACACGCACAACACGGAATAAAAACAAGTATATATTTGAATATAACTCTGATGTCATACACCGGAAAAAGAAGGTTAACACTGGAAAAGACGGGAAAAAACCATACAGAAGGGAATTCGAGAGGCCCTCACTCTATACCCACTCACTTTTAACAAAGAAGCTAAGTTCGAACTTGAAAGTTCAAAAAGAAACTACCTTTATCGTATAGCGAAGTTGCGTACATGGATGTATGATAGGGAAGGAGCTCTTGACAATGGGTGCTGCCAAGCTTGACGGGGAGGGAACTGCTACCATGTTTGATCCTAAAATATATTTTTCTGAAGTAATGATTGAACTTGGCTTGGCTATGGATGGAGGGAAAGGCAGCCTTTCTATGGCAGACTATATTGGAGGAGAAGTTCTCAAGATTCATGAAGATCTTGTAATCAGGGCTATGTCAATTTTCCCGGTATAACAAAAAAAAAGTAACAGAAAACTTTAGTTTTGAATTCTACTTGGAATTTCCCCCAGCTAGTCTGAAGGTCTAGTTAATTGAAGGAGCTTCTGAAGCTGAAGGCCTTATTAGTGAAGAGAATGGGTCATTTTGATACAATACCACCCTCAAGATCAATTTAGGGAAAGCAATGGGGCCAAGACATCAATAAGGAAGCTAGGAAGGAATATTCATGAACTGTGTCATCTGGTAATTACTAACAGAGTGGAGGAAAATGTGATTGGCAGCATAGGCAACGTGAGGGTGATTGACCATTGTTCCCCTGTATTTAAACAAATTTATCACTATATATTAATTTTAACCTTTTATCAAAATTATATACCAATCTACCCCAATTGACCACTTTTTACTGAAAGTTACTCGAGTAACTGGCCTATGACTTACTCGAGTAAACCGGTCTTATTTACTCTAGTAAACCAGAGAAGTGGGTAATTCAAATATGGATCCACGAACATTTTTTATTGAAACAAAGTTCTAATGTCTTGCACATGTATAAATGGACTTGGGATGAGTGTTTGTGAGTCATTTACAATTGAGGGCAATCCTCATTCAATTTAAGGTTGAAATGATTTTTTGATGATATTCAATATGACTTGTTAAATTTAGTTTATTTTTTATTTTATTAATCTATGCTTATTATTTTATGCACACACATATTTGGACTTCATATATGGGTTCACGGGTTCAAAACAATTGAGGACAATCTCCATTCAAGATCAAGCTCTTTATACCTTAAAATAGTGTAAATTTTGGATGGAGATAACTTTTGTCTCAATTGTATGAATCGGGTTTTTTTTATTTTTTTTTATGTAACTTTTCGAGATCTACGCAACGACAAGTCAAATTTTTTTAAAAAAAAAATGCTTCCTTGATGAGTTTTGGGAATGACAAAGGAATATCATGTGTTGCTTTTGAAGATTTATGCCCATTTGACACATTTTATTTCTATGCATGATGTTTTTTAATTTCTATTCTTATTTCTTACTATCTAACAATAACAAATAATGGTAACTCATTATTTCAATAGACAACTTGTCAAATAGTAGGCATCTGTATCCCAAAAGTTGATGAAGTATGTGACAAAGAGGCTCAATGGAATAACTGTATATGAAGAATATATAATTCGGCATAGTTGACGCTCACTCGAGTAAGTGGGTTACTTAATCGAGTAATTAAACTTATTAGAGTGCGTGAACTGGTCAAACAGGAACAAATTGGTATATAGTTTGGGAAGAGTGGAAAAGTGGTAATTCTTTTTCAATAGAAAAATAAAAAAAAAACACTCCCCATTAAACCCGACTAGCGAGTGTGGGGTGAGAGCAATCCTTGTACACAGTCTTATCCTTGCAAATAATTACAAAGAGGTTGTTTCCTGGATTCAAACCTGTAACCTTTCAGTCACAAAGGAACAGCTTTACTCCTGCTCCAGTTTTTTTAAAATACAAGGGCAAAATGGTCAATCAGCGGCTACGTGAAGATTATGCAACTGTTATAAAAAGAAAGTGGTGCAGATCGAGGAATTATCTTGGGAATTATTGTGATCCTTTTGTATATTGGGAGAGACCCCTGAGCCTCTGAAATTGCTCAGGAATATCATTTCCATTTTTCTTTATTAGTTTTCGTTTATACCAATCCCTCCTCTAGTACCTATCAATTGGTATTAGAGCTCTCAACCAGGTAACTGTGGTATTATAAAACAAAAAAAATGGAAAGCAGATTTGAAGATTGGAAGGAAAGGGGGAAGCAAGTTGAAGAAACTCAAAAGGAGATACTCAGCTTGATGAACTTCTTCAGAAGACAAAGTGTCACTGCCTCAGGTTGTGCAAAAATTTTGAAGAGAGGGAGATAAGCAATACTCAGAAGGAGGAAAAATTTGTGGTTGTAAATCTGCCCACTGAAGCAATATGCGCAAAGAAATACAACCATGGAGAAGAGGAGGTTCGAGGTTCACTAAACACCGCTGAGGAGAGTCACAACAAAATCCCATGGAAGGAGAAGAGATGCTAAGGAAGGACGTAGGTTTAACGAAAGGATTGTTGGTGGCTAAGACACCTTTCCAAACAGCGGTGGTAGTCGAACTGTGGAATCAAATTGGCATAAGGAATCCTCGCAGTTGTTGAAAAAAGTAGCAAAAAATGGAAAGAGGAGGGCAATGGGTTTACACGGTGCACTTGAGAGAGGCTGCGAGAAGCACAAACAAATTCCAGTAAAAGGCACACTAGGTCAAGGAGTGAATTAGGGAAATTGGGTTGTGGTGCTGGCTTTTCCTGCTCTATTATATGCTAATGGATAGTGTATGATTGATCGTAAAATGGCTATTTATAAGTATCCAATTGATATTCAAGCACTTATCTTCATAGCTTTAAGATATGCCTTGCAATTGCTTAAAGGGAAAGAGTTCATGGAACAAATTGTCAAACACTTGCATGCCTTAAGCTATCATCTGAGAAGCTATTTTGGGTTGGGTTGGAAGCAACTTGATGATGAATATCGCTTTCGGAACAGAAAAGTACTCGCATATTCCTAATTTTCTACCTGATTAGATTTTTGATTTCATGTCTCATCGTGGTGGTTACTTTACTGGGAATGTCAGTCCTGCTAGGATTGATATCAGCTGGTTTTTCCTTGGAAATTGCATTACAATCTTGTCCAATGTGATTACTCCTAAGCAATTTCATGTAACTAACAAAGATGATCAGCACTGTTTCTGGTTTCCTTCATGTGCAAGTCTATTTGGGTGTAATTTTGACCCAAGACCCAAGATTAGGAAGGACGTGGAAATTCAGTTTGACACCTTACACAACCATGCCCATCTCTTACCTTTATAGGAAAGAGAATTTGAGTTTGTCTTATTTCTATTGTCTGACTGTGATCGACTTACTATCAACCCTCCATGGAGTAGTTCATAGGTGAATGCGATAGAGAGTGATAGTGAGTATCATGATTCATGGCTTTATGAGACATACGTATGGGCTCTTCCCCGGCCAATCTCCAAGTTGAAAATTTATAATCTTAAACTGGTGGGAGTTGCAAAAGAGAGTTGGGATCCTAGTGGAAGTTATAATGTTTTTTTACATAAAAAGGTCCTTAATGGGATACTGGTAAAAATTGTCAGGCTTTTGTACATTTGTGGAGTCCTACAATTCAAAACGTGGGATCCAAGAGGATGGTTTTTTTTTTTGCGTGTGCTTGACTTGCACTTTGAGGACAAGATGCTTAAAAAGAGGAGTATTGATACAATACCACCCTTATTGGCAATTTAGGGAAAGCAATAGGGCCAAGACATCAATAACGTAGTTAGGAAGGAATATTCATGAAATATGCCATTTGGTAATTACTAATAGAATGGAGGGAAAATGTGATAGGCAGGATAGGCAACATGAAGATTATGCAACTGCTATAAAAAGAAAGCGGTGCGGTTAGAAGAATGATCTTTGGAAATTATTGGGATACTTTAGGATATTGGGAGAGACTCCTGAGCCTCTCGAATTGCTCAAGAATATCTTTGTTTTCCTTTCTTTCATCTTCTATTTCATTTTCCTTGTAAACTTGTTGGTTGTTTCTTTCTTTTGGTGTATCTCAAAGATGCAAAAAAATTATCTCATAATAAATTGAAAGTAAAGAGGTGTATATTATTGAATTATATAATATCTGTACAAGGATTCTCTATTTAAAGAGATTAAAAAACCTAATGGGCTAAGCCCAAAGACACTTCTAGAGTATTCTAGCTAATACAAATAATAAGTAAATAATGACAACATTAATTCTAATATTTACAATACTCCCTCTCAAGCTGAGGAATGGATATTTATCATTCCTAGCTTGCTAGTAAGCTCTTGAAACCTGTCATTAGGAAGACCCTTAGTCAAGACATCAACCAATTGACAACTAGATGGAATATATGGAGTAGTGATCAGTCCGCTATCTAGTTTCTCCTTGATGAAGTGGCGATCAATCTCAATATGTTTAGTTCGGTCGTGTTGGACTGGATTGTTGGTTATACAAATAGCTGATTTGTTATCTCAAAGTAACTTCATAGACCCTTCACATCTCACCTTGAGATCATCGAGAATGATTTTCAGCCATAATAACCCACAGATACCTTGAGCCATGGCCCGGAATTCTGTTTCTGCACTCGACCTAGCAACCACATTTTTCTTTTAACTTCTCCATGTTATGAGATTCCACAGTGAAACATACAATAGCCCGAGGTAGATTGTCGGTCAGTCACGGATCCAACATAATCGGCATTTGTATACACTTCTAAGGATAAATTTCCTCCTTTGGAATAATAGTCCTCTGCCCGGTATGCCTTTTAGATATTGGAGAATCCTATCCACAGCTCGCGAGTGTTTTTCCCTCGGGTCATGCATGAATTGACTAATAATACTAACTGCATAAGCTAGATCAGGTCTAGTATAAGCTAGGTATATCAATCTTCCCACTATTTCGTTGATACTGTACTTCGTCAACTGGAGGACTCTCATTTTCACTTCCTAGTTTGTGATTTTGCTCAATTGGAGTACTGGAAGGTTTACACCCAAGTTTTCCTGCTTTCTTAAGGAGATCAAGAACATATTTCCGTTGACAAATAAAGATCCCTTGCTTTGAATGAGCAACTTCTATCCCAAGAAAATATCTCAGTTTTCCAAGCTCTTTAACGTCAAATTCAGCAGTCAGTCTTTCTTGCAGAGCATGCTTCTCATCTATATCATCCCCTGTTATGATAATGTCATCAACATAAATTAGAAGGATAGTGAGAATGTTTAAAGAGAAGTGTATGATCCCCTTGACTTTGCTTGTATCCCAATGAAAGCGAAGAAGGATTGACCACGTGAGATTGACTTACCAAGCTTCTTCAGAACCTGTTGCCTTCCATGAAGACGATAACAAACATCTTTTGTGTGACCTGGTCTTTTACAATAGTTACACCAATGCCACTCTTTACTGGGCTTAGATGGAAAAAACTTTGGAGGTGGCTTAGCCGAAATCATAGCAGACTCGTCAGTGGGCTCAGAATCAGAAGGATCTGGAGTAGTGACTTTAGATGAGAGCATGTCAGATCCTTCGGACAACTTGGTATCCATCATGACAGCCCTGCGACTTTCTTCACCCCTGACAGTGTGAAAAACTTCAGAAAGAGTAGGTAATTTTTCCTTACCAAGAATTTGAACCCGAATAGGTTTATATTCTGAGTTGAGGCCACATAGAAAATCAAAAATCCGATTTCTTTCAACAGAGGTGGCAAGAGTGGCTGCATCCTTGCTAAACTCCATCTTCAAACTCTGGTACTGATTAAGCTCAATCCATAATGCATTTAGAATGCCATACTACTCTGTTACAGAGAAAGAGCCTTGCTTGGTAGAAAAAATCCTATTCTAAAGATCGTAGCAAGTAGCGGCATCTTGTTTCATTGAATAGGTTTGCTTAAGAACATCCCAGATCTCAAAAATAGTAGGTAAGAACGTGCAATGTTGACTAACCTCAGGAGTCATCGAGTTCCATAGCCACGTCATAATAAGAGAATCTTCATTATCCCAATAATCAAATTTTGGATCTGTCTTGGCAGGAACAGGTCCTTCAAGATGAGCAATCTTATGATGCCCTTTGAGAATAGTACGAACAAGCTGAGACCATTGCAAATAGTTTTTTCCATTAAGACGATAATTCTGATGGAGAACAGGCAGATCATTTGGACTAAAAGAAGCCATAGAAGATGTAACAGATGATTAATTAATTGCAGTATCTTCAACTTCTGACTCTGACATAAAGTTTAAGATGACAAAGAAAATGAAAAAACTTCGCCGGAACGGTAACAAAAGCAATTTAGGAATGAAAATCGTCGTCGGAACAGTGACGAAACCATTGTGGGACCACTGTTGGACTCCGTGACTGAGGCAAAATACCACGATAGGCACATATCCGGACTCGCAATGAGGAGGCGTGTTGGTCTGTCCAAGTCGCGCGTGCAGAAGACGGTGCAGAAGACGCCACATGTGCCGCTGCAAGGTTTGGAAAGGCGCATCTGTTTCACGCGCGAGGGAGTGTGACGGACAGTCTCGAGATGGGTCCTGGACAGAGAAGATCGCTTGTTGTGGCGATCACAACCATGGGTAGATCGCCGGAAAACTTGCCGGAACAGTGATCGGAGACAGTGGTCTATGGCGACGCTGATGTGAACAAATAATGGTCCTCTCGGTCCAAAAGGTCGCAGGAAATTTTTTTCCTGTGGCAGCTGATGGCGGCGAGTAAAAAAATAAGGGTTTTGCTTTAAAACGGTAGTTGCAAAAGAGCCCTTAGGATCGAGGGCTTTGATACCAAATTAAAAGTAAAGAGTCATATATTATTGAATTATATAATATCTGTACTAGGTTTCTCTATTTAAAGAGATTAAAAAACCCAATGGGCTAAGTCCAAGACACTTCTAGAGTATTATAGCTAATACAAATAATATGCAAATAATTACAACATTAATTCTAATATTTACAATATAATATGAATCTCATTTCCATTTTTCTTTGTTAGTTCTCTTTTATCCCAATCCCTCCTCTAGTAACTATCACATTCTTTGGCCTTGATGATGTTAGTTTGTCTGAATTTTATTCTTGTGCTCTTCCAATTCCTGCAAGTTTTTCCAAAGAGCCATCTCTGGGGATTGAAGATGGGCAATGATATCCTGGTGGTAGTTACTATGCTTCCTGCGTAAGTTGGTCTTTTGCATTTCATGCAATGGGACCCGGGGGATGGTTTTTCTTGGCTAACCATTCACCTTGAGGATAAGGTGGATCTTTGGGGGGAAGTATTGATAGGACATCAGGCATAAGGGTGGTCTTTAGGAATTGGTATAGGGGATTGTTAGCTCTTTTCCATGCTGAGTCACCAAGGCAGAATATTCCCCATTCTGTTAGATGAGAAAACAGTTATGAAGTAGAGGGAATGAGGGAATGCATATCATCCATGCTGCTTAAAAGGGTGCACTATCAACAAGGAAAGGGTTCTTTGGGCTGGGATAGGACTTGGGAGAGACCAGTAGCCTCTTTAATTTGTCTAGGTTATCTTCTTCTTACCATGTTCTGCTTCTGTAATCTGTAACCTCATTTGATGGTTGATTTTCCTTATCTCAACCTTGTAATTTCACTGGATTCTTGTTGAGCCAGTGTCTTTAATACAATTTTCCTTTGATTGTTCCATTTTCTTCCCTCTAAGTCTTGGCAGGGTATCAGTTTCCTTTCTGGAACTGCATACAATAAACTAGAAGTAACCTTGTCACTGATCAAGTCAAAAGCTATGTACTAAATATCAAGTTATAAAAAATAACGGGTGCAGAATGTTCATATTTTATTGTGCGTAAAGTTACTAATTTGCATTATTCTATTCTTGCTGATACCCCTAGAAATAATACAGGTGGCAGAACTTATTGAGAATGATCTCATTTTGATTGGTAGCACTGCCATAGAAGACAAGCTTCAAGAGGGAGTACCAGCTTGCATAGAGACTCTCCAAAGAGCTGGTATTAAAATTTGGGTTCTTACAGGGGACAAGATTGAAACAGCAATAAACATAGCGTATGGTGAGTCTGTTTTGAATTAGAGATGTTTTTATATGCTGATCTGTTTTTTTTTTTTCCCAACAGTTAAGTTGTTATCATTTTATATCTTGTTTCCACCCCCTTGCTGCAGCATGCAGTTTAATAAACAATGAGATGAAGCAATTTGTTATCAGTTCAGAAACTGATGCAATTAGAGAAGTTGAAGATAGGGTAAGCTTCACATTTTTGCTTCCATGTTATGCTCATAGTTCTTAGTGTTTCTGATTGTAATAGTTGTATTGTTTTGTAATTTGTTCAGGGTGACCAAGTGGAAATTGCACGATTTATTAAAGAAGAAGTGAAAAAAGAGCTGAAGAAGTGTCTTGAGGAAGCAGAGAGCTATTTTCATACTCTATCTGGACCAAAATTAGCACTTGTGATTGATGGAAAATGTCTAATGTATGCATTGGATCCAAGTTTAAGAGTGATGCTGCTGAATCTAAGTTTGAATTGTCATGCTGTTGTTTGCTGCCGAGTTTCTCCTCTACAAAAAGCACAGGTAAAATTCATATGCCATGGTCAATAACTTGTTATGGATAGCTGTTACACTTATTATTCTTGTTTATAAGTAGAGAGTTTATGTTGTCAAGAAAGCGAATTTTGATTCAATTTTTGGCCTAGTTATTTGGAGTGCTTGAAGTAAATGCCAAGTAGAATTTGGTGCCGTTTGGCATATGCAATTTTGTCAATGTGTTCACTATCTCTGCTTACAGGTCACAAGTATGGTCAAGAAAGGTGCACGAAAAATAACACTTAGTATTGGTGATGGAGCCAATGATGTTAGCATGATTCAAGCTGCTCATGTTGGTGTTGGCATAAGTGGGATGGAGGGAATGCAAGCTGTGATGGCTAGCGATTTTGCCATTGCACAGTTTCGTTACCTTGCAGATTTGCTTCTTGTTCATGGCCGGTGGTCATATCTGCGAATATGCAAGGTATCATGTTTTTGCAAACTACACAGTGTATTCACTTGCATAGCTGTTTATTTCTTATAACACACTTGAAACTTGGTTATTGCAGGTGGTGTTATACTTTTTTTACAAGAATCTCACGTTTACTCTTACTCAGTTTTGGTTTACTTTTCAAACTGGATTTTCTGGTCAGAGATTTTATGATGATTGGTTTCAGTCATTATTTAATGTTATCTTTACAGCACTGCCAGTGATCATTGTTGGACTATTTGACAAGGTAGCATATTCTTTCCAATTATATGGGATTGCAGTTTCTTTTGGGAAGGGTTATTTCATCGATGGAAACACATACCATTTGCTTGTATCAATCGCCTTGTGCATCACTAGTTAAAATACAATTTTTCTTCATTGTTGGCTTGTTTTAATTAGTTACTTGTGCTTTTGGCAGGATGTTAGTGCATCACTATCAAAGAAATATCCTGAACTATACATGGAGGGAATAAGAAATGTCTTCTTCAAATGGAGAGTTGTGGCTATATGGGCCTTTTTTTCTGTATACCAGTCTCTAATATTCTACTTTTTTGTCAGTTCGTCAAGTTTAAGTGCTAAAAACTCAGCAGGAAAGATATTTGGACTCTGGGATGTCAGTACAATGGCCTTCACATGTGTTGTAATAACCGTCAACTTGCGACTATTTATGATTTGTAATTCGATCACAAGATGGCACTATATTAGTGTTGGTGGAAGTATATTAGCCTGGTTTATTTTTATTTTTATATACTCAGGGATTACCACTCCTTATGATCGACAGGTGAATTCCCTCTCACACTGTGTGTGTTTAAAAAGTAACACTGGCTTTTTCCATATCATCCCTTAAAAACACTGTTAATTGAGTTCTGTTTCATTTGTCTGCAGGAGAATATTTATTTTGTCATATATGTCTTGATGAGTACATTCTATTTCTACCTCACACTAGTTCTTGTTCCTGTTGCTGCTCTTTTCTGTGACTTTGTTTACCAAGGGTAAGGTTCAGATTTAAAGAACTCTTGTGTTTTTGTCTATGCATGCTATTGGTGGAGATATCATTATGCTGATGGGGCTGCATGATTATAGAACGTAAGATCAAGATACACAAAGATAAATAACTTTTGCGTTGGAAATTTAACATTTCCATTCACATGAAACCTTTTTTATTTAAATATCGAAATTGAGTCATGTTCTGGAAGTCAAACAGATAATAGAGGAAAGAGGTCTCGGTTTTGAAATAACCATTTTTTACTATGATGTTTATTTGATTAAAATCGTAGCAGCAATATGATCTCTCATGGTACTCATAACGTGATTTTGCATTTCGATAAGGTAAACAGCTTTTTATGGACAGTTGAACATTTGTGTTTTTTTGCATGCATGGTTGCAACATATAGCTTTGTAGCATATAAAAAAGTTGACATTTTTTAACTATAATTATAGGTCTCAGTTTTCATTCCCATCTTTTTTTTAGGGACTTTGGCCTTTGTTCATTTCTGTTCGTCTGGTTGCAGGGTTCAAAGATGGTTCTTTCCCTATGATTATCAGATTATTCAAGAAATGCATAGACATGAGCTTGATAACACTGGTAGGGCACAGCTGCTAGAGATCGGGAACCAGCTTACACCAGCTGAGGCAAGGAGCTATGCAATATCTCAACTCCCACGTGAGCTATCAAAGCACACCGGGTTTGCTTTTGATTCACCTGGGTACGAATCCTTTTTTGCTGCACAGCTTGGTGTTTATGCCCCACCAAAGGCATGGGATGTTGCAAGACGAGCTAGCATGAAATCACGGCCAAAGATTGGGCATAAAAAGTAATTTGTTGTAGGATGATTGTACATTTCGTTAGTTTTGGTTTTCCATTTTGAGAGCCAGCCCTAGGAATTCTGTAAAATTAGAATGTGCCATATAAAATATTTGGTTATTTTCATTTTTAGTATATATTGTGTTGTTTCTTTTGGGGAATTAGAGCAGGTTTTCAGGATTCTTAGATGTACATTCCACGACATTTAGCAATTCATATAGTAATTTTTCTGAAATGCGGGGTTGTACAATTTCTTTTTCAGTTGATTCGGGGAGCTCAGTACTTTTTATTTGTATTTGATTTACTAACAAGTATTTTAATATTTGCAATGTTGGTCTGTTGAAATTTACGCATAAAGTGTTGAGAACATTTCACTTTCTTGTGGTTCACCCTGCTATATGAAAACATAAAAATAGAAGAATGAACCTTTCGTTTTGCACAATTTAACGCATTATTTAGCATTCTATATCGACTTAGTTCCTGTTTGTGAGGTTTTATTTTTAGTTTTTTTTTTCTTCTTACAAGCAGAATTTTAGTCAAATATGTTTTTACAAAAGTTTTGATTATAAATTTTTTATTTTTTTTTTATAATGAACAAAATAAGCAAAAGCTAAAAGTTCTTTAGGGGAGTTTTTAGAAGATGTCTTGAGTTCTTATATTTATTTTTCAGTTTTATTTTTATTCTAAAGTTGTAGTTACTAATTTTATTTTTTACTTTAATAGTTTATCCTAATAACAATTGATTTTGTCTCCCTTTGTTTAAAATATAAAATTAATTTTATATAATTATCAAATAATCTGTAACTTTGTTTTTTTATAACTTGAGTTTAAAAGTTACTTTTAACTTTAAAAAAAAAAAATCAAACATGCTTTTGATTATAAGTGCCCAAACATTTGCCTGAACGTCAACCACAACAAACGGATGATCTCGCATTATATTATTATCATGGTTGATAAGAATAACAAAGGTTTTGTGCATGGAGAAAAGTTAACAGTTTGTCCAAAAATTTGGAAAGCTGCTTCCCGGCATTTCTTGTTCCGTAAATTCCTCATAGCACTTAGGCCCGTTTGAATGGACTTTTTTCTCTCCAAGTTGCTTTTTTTGTGTGAAAAAAAGCACTTTTCATTTTTAGTTCGTTTGGATGTCTGCTTTTAAAAAAAGCACAAGTCACAAAAAAAAGTCAAAAATTTACTTTTTTCTGAAGCTAAAAATTTTAACTTCTAAAAACAGCAGAAGTCAAAAGCTAAATATTTTTTTCAATATCTAAATATTTTTATAAAAATATAAATAACTTTAACTTTTGTAAAAAAAACTTCTAAAATAAGGAAAAGATAAAAGTTATTTTTTTTAAAAGCCGAAAGAAACGGGCTCCTGTTCAAATTCTCCTTGTATGTCAAGTGAAAACCAATCTGTCTTTTTAGTAGTGTAAAGTTGATTTTGCAATTCATTCAAGTGCAGACTATGTAGAAAGTACGGGTTAAAAAAACAAAGATGTTCGCACAGAAAATTATTTACAGAGAATAATCAAAGAGGATTAATGGAAGAAAAAAAATAAAATGATATACAGTAGTTCAAAATTTTGAGCTACACGTTCTTCTGTCTGATGTTTTTGTCAAATAGTTGTATGTGGCTGTGCCACGAATGTTGGAAAAAAAAATTATAGAATAAAATAAAAACTACTCTAATTAAAAGCATTATCATATACTTATTGGGACTTTTCCGTGAGATAAATAACACAATTGTAATGCCCCGGATGCTGCGTCTCACCTAGGAGTGTAAATAGGCCATACTGGCTTACATGGGCCTACGGTCTAGCCTATATTAGGTCAGATTTGACCTATTATAAGTAGTAAAATAGAATAGGTCTAGACATTTAAAAAAATCTATTTAGAAAACAGGTCATATGCTTTTTTGTACATGTCGAGCCTATAAGTCTAAAGGTCGGTCTATATCATATTATTTATTTAAAATATAATAAATAAAATTATTATTTAATAATTTTGAATAATAAAATAATATTATTTTAGTTATTCATTTAATTGTTGAATGTTTAATAAACTTAAACAGGTTAACAGGCCTAGGCCAAAGCTTTTATTTTTTGAATATAGATCAGATCAGACTTGTAATTTGGAGCCTACACAGGCTAATAGGCCAGGCCATACCCAATGTTTTTTAGACAAATTGACCTATTTAAGTCAAAGCCTAGCCTAACTCAATCCATTTACACCCCTATCTCACCACACTGCTACTTCATGCCATGCCATGTCCATGTCCGTGAAGTGTATCTTTATTACAATATGTATTATTTTCTTTTTTACCTTTATTCATGTGCTGTAACTAATTTGTAGATATTTTGTGTGCTGTAACTAATTGGTAGCTGAGCTGGACCTCTTTCTGTTAGGTCTTATTTTGTGCGTGTAAGCAGTTTTTCATTCTGTTACAAAACCCTCTTTGTAATGGCTAATATATAAAGCCTCTTGTACTCACTCTAATCAATCAATGAATTCCAAAGATGAATATTCAGTTTATATCAGAGTCTCATCCTTTCATAACTAATATGGTATCAGATGAATTTCTTTGATTTTTTCTGCCATTTTTAGATGGCTCGTGGCACCAATCGGCCACCACCAACCGATTCCTCTTCTGCACATTCAGGAACATCCGCCCCCATGGATGATTCCTCCAGTCCCTACTTTTTACATAGTAGTGACCATCCTGGTCTTGTTTTGGTTTCTAATTGTCTTTCTGGATCCAATTATAATTCATGGAATCGAGCAATCTTGCTTGCTTTAACTGCCAAAAACAAGTTGGTTTTTGTTGATGGATCTCTTCTTCGTCCTGCTTCAACTGATCTGTTGTTCTCCGTTTGGAATCGTTGCAATTCCATGGTTTTTTCTTGGCCGTTGAACTCGGTCACCAAGGATATTGCAGATAGTTTGCTCTACTTCACTACTGCCTATGAAGCTTGGGCTGATTTGAAGACACAATTCTCTCAAGCGAATGGTCCTCGCATCTTCCAACTCAAACAACAGATCTCCTCTCTTTGCCAAGGATCTTTGGACGTCAATGGCTATTACACCAAACTCAAGTCACTTTGGGACGAATTACTTGATTACGCTCCTCTACCACTCTGTACTTGCGGTGCTCTTCGTCTCATCCACAATCATAGAGAGCAGGATCATGTCCTTCAATTTCTCATTGGGCTCAATGATTCCTATGCTTCCTCGCGTGCTCAGATTTTACTCATGGATTCGTTACCTCCTCTTGCCAAGGTGTTTTCGCTGGTTCTTCAAGAGGAGCGCCAACGTCAGCTGTTTGTTTCCCTACCATCGCCTGCCATTCCGGATTCTCCACTTTTGAATTCGATACACACCTCACCGTCGCCGTCTCCGGCTGTTTCTTCCCCTTCTGCTACGGTGGCTGCCGTCCAACGTCGCCGCCCCGTTTGCACTTACTACCATCTTTCGGGTCATACCCGTGAGAAATGCTTCAAGTTAAATGGGTATCCTCCTGGTTACAAACCCAAGGTACCCAGGCCCAGCCCATTATCAAACCCAACCCAACCGTCAACCCAAGCCTATTCTGCTGTTTCTGTCTCACCTACCTCTCCTAATTTTTCCAATCCTCACCAAGTCACGAACCTTAATCTCCCTGTCTCAGACTCACCGCTTGCTTTTACTCCATCACAATACAATCAGCTGGTTTTTCTTCTACAACAGAGTTCTGCACTTCCTCTTCGGTCACCAACGTCTTCTGTTCCTGACACTCCTCCCTCCGTGGCCAGTTTCAGTGGTAAGACGTCTCTCTCTTTCCCTCCGTCTTGTTGGATTTTAGACACCGGTGCTACGCACCATGTTTGTGTCACGCTTGATCTTTTTGTTTCTTCCTCTCCTTCTGCTTCTCTGGTCTCGTTCCCTAATGGTTCCTCTGTTGTTGTGTCTTCGGTGGGCTCTGTTAAGATTTCTGATTCTCTTGTTCTTTCTAATGTATTATTTGTTCCAACTTTTTTCTTCAATCTGTTGTCCATCAGTGCTTTGACTCGTGATTCCCCAGTCATTGCTAATTTCTCTTCTTCTTTTTGTTTCCTTCAGGACCGTGCTTCGGAAAGGATGATTGGGATTGCTAGACGTCATGGCGATCTCTACCTTTTGGATAGTAACAACCTTTTTCCCCCTAATCATGTTCCCCATCCCCTTTGTTTTTCCATTTCTGTAAACAATGCTATTCTCTGGCATTCTCGTTTGGGACATCTTTCCCATTCTGTTTTAAATTCCATGAAGCATATTTTGGGTTTTTCTGATGCTTTACATACTGATCATTTGTGTACTGTTTGTCCTTTGGCGAAACAAAAACGCCTCCCTTTTATTTTAAATCCCCACCTTAGTGCATCATCTTTTGATTTGGTCCATTGTGATATATGGGGACCTTTCAGCACTGTATCTGTGGAAGGATCTCGTTATTTTCTAACCTTGGTTGATGATTCAACCAGGTTCACTTGGACCTATTTTCTGAGTAATAAGTCTGATTTTTCTGCTGTTTTTCCTGTTTTTTATAATTTGATATTTACTCAGTATAAAGTTTCCATTAAATCCCTTAGATGTGACAATGCTCCTGAGTTCAATTTGTCCTCATTTTTTTTTGATAAGGGTATTCAAATCTTTCACTCATGTGTTGACCGTCCCCAGCAGAACTCTGTGGTAGAAAGGAAACATCAGCACCTACTCAATGTAGCCCGTGCCCTCCATTTTCAGTCCAAAATCCCTCTCCTATATTGGCAAGACTGTGTTCTTACAGCAGTATATCTTATTAACCGTACCCCATCTCCCCTTCTTGATTCCAAAACTCCTTTTGAATTGCTGTGCCATAAACCCCCCTCCTACACTCACCTACGAGCCTTTGGATGTCTATGCTATAGTTCCACACTTCCAAAGACTCGCCACAAGTTTTCACCACGTGCTCTGCCTGCTGTTTTTCTTGGTTACCCTGCAGGATACAAAGGTTATAAACTCTTGGATTTGGCTTCAAATAAAATATTCATTTCTCGTGATGTTATTTTTTATGAGCACATTTTCCCTTTACTCTAACCAATATACCCTCTTCTTTCCACACTGAATTTTCCCAATTACCCCCTGCCTTCACTCCTCATACAGATTCCTCCCCTTCTTTTATTTCCACAAGACCTTCACGGGTTAGG